AATGCCGAGCAAAACGGGGCAGTGGCAGGGTCACACTGGGCTTTACGCTGATGGCGTATAACCATGATGGGGACAGAGGTGCGAGGCTTAAGGGAGAAGGGGGTGTTAACCCGATGCGGTTTAACTTAGGAGGTAACTAATTTCCATCCTGATAGAATAGGTGATTAGCGTGCCAGCAGCGAAACGGAGGAGTTTGGGTACGGAGTTATTAAAAAAATAAATAAATAACACTAAATATAGATATATAAAAACAAGGACTTAAAGGGTAAGCGTATGGCACGGGCTGCCCCCCCTCCCCGCCCCCAGCAGGTAAATGGTCGTTAATGGCTCCAACCACAGCGGAGAAGCCATCAAGAAAAACCCGCGGCACGGTGTGAGGGGCGGCGGGGCAGAGGGGTTGGCCCGGCCGTGAGTGAGGTCGGGGTGAGGCCCGGCGGAGGGTCCGTGAGGAGGAAGGAGGAGGGGGGGTGGGCGAGGGGTGCGGTGAGGGCACGGCTTCCCCGGTAGGGTTATGCGGCAGAAGTCGCTGGTTTCTCCTCAGAGGAGGGAAGGCGGTACGGCCGGGTGGTTGAGGGCGCTGGGGGGTAAGGGAGGCGGCCTGCCGGCGGCAGGTGTTTCAGCGGGATGGGGTTGCGGGTGTTTCTGAGCTCCCGGTAAGAGGCGGGGAGGGAAATCCCACGTCTGCAAGGCACGGGTGGAGAGAGGGAGGTTGTGAGGTGCGGGGTTTGGCCAGGGCTCGGGTATTGGCTGCCTGGCAGCCCGGAGGTGGAATGGGGTGGGATTTTTTTGGCAGTAGAAGTTGGGGCTCGGTCTCATACGCCCCGTTCTAAGGAGCACAGGGTCCCGCCTGCCTTGTTTTGCTGTTGAAGTGATGCTGGCTTGCAAACTACCTGTTTTACCGTCTGTTCTACTCTCAGCTTTGCTGCCTGTGTACTTTTTGGAAGACTCGATCTGTTTGCCGAGCAGGCTTAACCCTTCTTTCTGGCTTACCGACACTGGGTAGTGAACTAGTTGCAGGCTGTCATACCCTTAAGGTGTGTAATAGACCATGTTGCTTCAATACAAAAGATGCAACCTTAAGGCCTTTTCAGACACAGAGCACTTGACCCAACTGCTACAGTAGCGAGATCTCTGCTGCCGTGGTTAGAAGAGGGGTTTAACCCTTGCAAAAGGAAGGAGTGAGTGTTAGCCCAAGAACGGGCAGTTGTCCCGCGTTGGGTTCTCCTGGGCAACTCCAAAGTAAGTATTTAACTTGGTTAATAATGTTTCAAAGGCTGTGGCATACTGAAGCCTAATGATTTGTTGGTGTGGTGGGTTGAGTCTGGCTGGATACCCGTTGCCCACCAAAGCTGCTCTATCACTCCCCCTCCTCAACTGGACAGGGGAGAGAAAATATAACGAAAGGCTCATGCGTCGAGATAAGAACAGGGAGAGATCATTCACCAATTATTATCACAGGCAAAACAGACTTGACTTGGGGAAAAATAATTTGTTACCAATCAAATCGGAGGAGGATAATAAAATAAAAACAAATCTTAAAAAAAACCCTTTCCCCCTACCTTCTTCCCGGACTTAACTTTACTCCTGATTTCTCTACCTCCTCCCCTCAAGTGGCACAGGGGAGTGGGGAATGGGGGTTGTGGTCAGGTCATCACTTGTCGTCTCTGCCACTCCATCCTCCACAGGGCGGGAACTCCTCATACTCTTCCCCTGTTCCAGCATGGGGTCCCTCCCACGGTAGACAGTCTTCCATGAACGTCTCAGATGTGAGTCCTTCCTATCAGCTGCAGTTCATCATGAACTGCTCCACTGTGGGTCCCTTCCACGGGGTCAGAAGTCTGCCAGCAAATGTGCTCCAGTATGGGCTCCTCTCTCCACAGGGCCACCTGTCCTGCCAGGAACCTGCTCCCACGTGGGCTTCCCATGGGGTCATAGCCTTCTTTGGGCATCCACCTGCTGCGGCATGGGGTCCTCCATGGGCTGCAGGTGGATATTTGCTGAACTGTTAACCTCCATGGTGTGCAGGGGGCCACCCTGCCTCACCGTGGTCTTTACCACAGGCTGCAGGGGAATCTCTCTCTGGTGCCTGGAGCACCTCCTCCCTCTCCTTCTTCACCAACCTTGGTGTCTGCAGAGTTTTTTTCTCATGTGTTTTCTCACTCCTCTCTCCCGCTGTAATTCCGTAGGTTTTTTTCCCCCCCTTCCTAAAGAGGTGGTACTGCTGTCACTGATGGGCTTGGCCTTGGCCAGCATCAGCTCCGTCTTGGAGCCGGCTGGCAGTGGCTGTGTCGACACAGAAGAAGCTTCTAGCAGCTTCTCACAGAAGCCACCCCTGTAGCGTCCCTGCTACCAAAACCTTGCCACGCAAATCCGATACAGTTGGTAGCAGCGTTTACATCTGGAGCTAATTGTTTGTTGTCCTTTTTAGTAGGCATTGCCAATGGATGAACTGGTGCATGACTTGGCCTCAGCTTTAGAGCAGACTTCAGAACAAAACAAGCTGGATGAGCTATGGGAAGAGATGGCCCTAAGCCCACGGCAGCAGCGGCGTCAACTTCGCAAGAGACGGGGTCGTAAACGACGCTCAGACTTCACTCATCAGGCTGAGCATGCCTGCTGCTACAGCGAGGCCTCAGAGTCAAGCTTGGACGAAGCTGTCAAGGATTGCCGTGAGGTGCTGACAGCCAATTTCAGTGACTCTGATGACATGGCAGTGGTCAAACGACACCCAGCTCTCAGTGCCACCCTGAGGAGCAAGCAACACTCGTGGCATGAGTCAGACTCCTTTACAGAGAACGCACCCTGTCGACCTCTCAGGCGCCGACGGAAAGTCAAACGTGTGACATCAGAGGTGGCTGCCAGTCTCCAGCAAAAGCTCAGGGTGTCAGAGTGGAACTACGAGAGGGGCTGCAGGTTCAAGTCAGCCAAGAAACAGCGTCTTTCGCGCTGGAAAGAAAATACCCCTTGGACATCATCTGGTCATGGCCTTTGTGAATCAGGAGAGAGCAGGCCCTTCCTGAGCAAAGGGGGAAGGAAGGAGCGAATGGAGTGTGAAGCTGATGAACAGAAACAGGGCTCAGATGAAAACATGTCAGAATGGTGAGATCTCGGTTTCTTCCCTGCGCTAGTCAGATGGCTGCCTTGCTTGCAAATTCTGTGCCTTGCTTTTAGAAGTTCTTATCAAAATGATTCAGTGCTGTTCTCTTTTTGAAGAGGAGAAATATCTCAGCTGCTTCTAAACTGTAGATTTTCTCCAAGTCTTTCCTGTCAATGCTGTACTCATGACCCAAAACACTTCCGTGAAAAGTTGGCAAGCTGATATGTTTCTGGCTCCAGTTACACAAGGAGCCCTCTGAAATGTCTGTGGCCCTGCAGCTACAAAGTGGCATGCTTGTGGCCTGAGGTTTGGAGAGTAAATCCACCATTGGCACTTGTGTTGCGTGATTGATATGAACTGATCTCATTTTCTTGTTTTCAGAATTTACTATAAGTAGTAATAGAGAACAGACAGATCCCATTGTGACTGTTAGCCCTCTGTGCAGGTACTATGTGAACCTCAGTCAAAACATCTTGTTTGCAGTTCTGCGTCTCTGCTGTGGGTCTGGAATAAGGTCCTGAAAGGCGAGCTGTGGGGAAAATGGAGCGAGATGATAAGGGAGCTGGGGAAACTGAATTAAAACTTACAGGATAAGCCTGTGGAAACAGTGGAGTCTGGCATGTCTTCGTGTCTAGTTTTGGAGAACTTTGATGAATTTGTGGCAGAATCTGATACCAGAGATGAAAATGATAAGTGTAAATGTCATGGTCTGAATTTATTTGTGTGTCATTCTTGGGAAATTTTCCCCTTGAGTGTGACTTTTATTCTCTCCGTAGAAGGTTTGGGGTTATAAAACTGCTGTACGAAAAGATTTTTCAGGTTAGAAAAGGAACAACTGCTGAGAATCAAATGGAGGAGGTTTCTTAATGAATGGCATACAGAAAGTGAATAGATTTGTTTATTTGCTCATTATCATCGTGTAAGAAGCAGGAGACATTGAGGAAACATTTAAACCAAAAATTTGCTAATTTTCATAAAACATGAGATTTGGAACTCTGCTGTGGGACTTAGATTGATCTCAGGGGCTGTTAAGCATTACAGCCCAGATGGAAGATCCGGCTCAGGAAGTCCTTAAACTGCTGACTGCTAGAAGCTGGAGGAATATACAGAGGAAACAGTCTGTATTTGTCATGTTCTCATATTCTTTCCTCAAGCATCCACTGTAATAGGCACTGTCAGACAGAGGACAGTAGATTTGGAAAGTATAATTGTTTGATCCAATATAATTATTAATATGTTAAGGTTCATTTAAGTGCTCTGGGTGTCTCGCTCCTGCAGTTTGTCAGAGTGGACAGGTGGCACTTGGTTATTGAAGGCTTTGTGGATAATAGCTGGAAGTGCAAACTTCTCAGTGGTATTTTCTAGGAGACTGTGAAAAGCATAGGTTGTAATATGTCCTCACTGTCCCGATCCCCTGACAGGGGACTACTATAGGGGACCACCTTCCCCCAGAGAGGGGATCACTATTGCATTTTGACTGAATCAGTGTGGTTTGTACGCAACCCTTACGGGGTGGAAGTAGTAAAAAAAGTGGACATATTTTTTCCTTAAAAAGTGGCTATTAGTAAAAAAAGTGGACATATTTTTTCCTTAAAAAGTGGCTATTGTTTGCTTAAAAATTGGGTGCAAAGAGAGCCTTTTCAAGAGACTAGTGGATGTCTTTTTGCTACTGGATGTTAAAGCACTTTTATCTTTTTAGAGCTATTTGCTGGTAGGCTGGGAAAGGGAATGTGCTGAGTAGCCCCTGAATGTTGGATGTCAGTGGTGATGGACTGAGAGATACCCTTACTTGATGTGGCAGTGATGGACAGTGTTCCTTGAGGATTTTTTTCCACCAGTCAGAGTCTGTTCCATCATGTCAAACTTGAACTTAAACCAGCAGGCTTTCATCCAGCCTTTATTTGTGCCAGCCTTTGAAAGAGTAAATAAACAGCTTTGTCTGGACTGTTACTTGAGGACCATGCTGGGAGATTGCTTTGTTCTGTCTCAGTTGTCCCTTGCTCTCAAACTAATTATTGTGCAAGTGTCTGCATCAAATGACATTTACCGTCTGCTGCCAAATCCTTGGGATTCTCTTTGGAAAGCCAGGGGTTGAAATATTTGACCTCTCCAGCACCGTATGTGTGAACTGTGCTATGACTCACTAGGGAGGGTCAAAGCTGGAGAGAGAAATACATACAACCCTCTTCACTGCAGAGTATCCCTCACAGCAGTGAAGGATCATGCTTTGGTCTCTGCTGCTCTAAATATAGCACATTGCTGCTAGCAGCAGAGTGAAACTGGCTGTGCTTACCTCACTCTCACTCTGCTCTAGCTGCTTTTTCTGGTACTGTAAGAGAAGTACTTTGCACAGATGTATAACAAGGGCATATCCTGAGGAAGGGAGAAGAAAATTGGATGCCTAGGAGAGCAAATGGTGTGGTTGTCATCACAAGCTGATGGGAGGGAAAGTGACTGATATAGCTTGTGGGGCTTGGAAGAAGTCTGTGGTAATCTAGTGATTTACGAAACACTTTGATACTGAATTGGTTCCACTACTGTTTATTCATCTAGCAGTGGGGAGTGTAAAAAAACTTTGGTTTTAGGCAAACTATGTTGTATATTCAGAACTGTTTCGTTTTGGTTTGGGGTTTTTTTTACCACCTTTTTCCTTCCCTCCACTGACACTTGCTGTCCTTTGTTACATAGGAATGAATCTCTGTAAATGCTAAAATATCCAGCATTTTCTCTGCTTTCTAGAAGGCTCCTTGTCCTAAATCAGATCAAAACCCCACTCCCATTCACTGAGAAAGTTTTGGATATGGATCCTTAATGAGGAGGTAGTTTTTATAGTTTGCACGTGGGACTGCACCCAGTCTTTTCCTGAAGGAAGATGTGCTGCAGTGTTGTGGTTAAAAGCGTGCGTGAAATGAAATCTTTGAATTTGTTTGTCAGACATGGCAAGAGATGAACACAAATTGAGACATGGAAAGATGTGCAGGAACATGATGAGGAAACGATGATGGTTCTAAATTGAGTAATGACATGAGTCAAAGCCTTATATATAAATGATTGAGGAAACAACAGAGGAAGCAAGTGGTCTTAGTTTAGGTAGCCATTTGTAAATTTGTACAAAGGAGACAATTAACGGCTAAGACTGTTAGAAGTAACATGCCCTTCTGTCCCTTAAAGCTTTGAGATTCCCTGCAGCCATAATAAAGCAAAGGCAAATTATATATTGAGTGCTGCAGTTCTTTCTCTTGCTGGTCTAAGCTGAGTACTCCCAGAATGGTCTGGGTTTGGCTTGAGGGCAGAACAAACCATAGCACAAGAACTGTCTGAAAAATCACTTTGAATGATGTGCTTACTAGTGAGAGATGTGCAGTTTGTCTAATCCATTCTCAAGTGCTATAACTCTTAATGTGACTTTTTCAAACTGGGGATTGTACTGACCCACCAATGCTGTGTGACCTCACTGGCTTGATGCTGATGTGTTTGTTGTGGTTTAACCCAGATAGGCAGCTCAGCCCCACACAGCCACCTGCTCACTCCCTCACAGTGGCAGGAGGGAGAGAATCGGGAAAGTGAGAAAACTTGTGGCTTGAGATAAAGTCAGTTTAATAGCTAAAGCAAAAGCTATGCATGCTAGCAAAGCAAAATAAGGAATTCATTCACTGCTTCCCATCGGCAGGTAGATGTTTAGCCATTTCCAGGACAGCAGGGCTCCATCATGTGTAATGGTTAGTGGGAAGACAAATACCATAACTCCAGATGTTCCCCCCCTTCCTCCTTATTTCCCCCAGCTTTTATTGCTGAGCCACCACGTCATATGGTGTGGGATATCCCCCTGGTCAGTTTGGGTCAGCTCTCCTGGATGTGTCTCCTCCCAGCATCTCGTGCACCCCCAGCCTACTCACTGGCAGGGCAGTGTGAGAAACAGAAACAACTTTGGCACTGTTTAAGCACTGTTCAGCAATAACTAAAACATCAGTGTGTTATCAACGCTGTTTTGGTCACAAATCCAAAACATAGCACCATAGAGCTACTATGAGGAAAATTTAACTCTATCCCGGCCAAAATCAGTACGGAGTTCTGGTCTGGGAGTGTAACCATTGCTCGTCCTGAGTGTGCAGTACAGTCGCTTTGCTCTTTGGAAGGGAGCTGTTTCGATGACAGCCTGCAGTGGCAGTCAAGAACCTGGCTAAGCTGATGAATTGGAGGCCAGTCCCTCCGTAAAGAAAAAATTCCTCTCGGAAGGCAAGTGACAAAGACAGAGTGTTCAGCTTCCCCTTCTTCTCCAGCTCAGCCTGACCTTCTGCAGCCCCTCGGTGCCTCTTGTTTTCTTATTTTTATAGAAAATCAATATCCCTCCTGACACAAACAATAGCTCAGGCGAAAGAATAAATGGGGGAAACGTGAGATCTCTGTCCATCACATCTCACTTTAACTCCCCCAAACTATTTAATTATAAGCATGCTTTGATCCAGGTGTTTGCGACAGTGAAATTGCTAAATGAGGACCATTTTAACCAAAGATTGGGTGATCAATAACACTCTATAGCAGTAGCTTGTCGGATCAATAGCATTCATTATTTCATGGTTAAGGTAAGTAGCCTCCTTTGCAAGCGGAGGTCATTAATCAGTGCTTACTGGACCTGCAGAAAGGCTTGTGTAGGATTCTAGTTTGTGTTCAGCCCTGGAGTGTAAAAGGGGTGGTGAAGAGGGTGAGATGTGTGAAAGTCCTTTCCAGTAAAGCACTGGCAGTAATGTGTATCTGTAAGGAACTAAAGAGCTCTCAGTACAACAGGATGCTTAAAGTACTGTTAATATGATCTGGAATCTTGACTTAATGCTTTTTCCTTTCTCAGGCACCTATCTTCTGAGGATGCTAAAACCCTTATGAAGCAGTCACTCAATCCTCGCTTCTACTGCTTGTGAGGACTATTAATCCAGGCTTTCAAAAGGGAAAGCAGACACGCTAAGAGATTTGCCCAGGGTCATACAGTGAGTGGTAGGAGAGCTAGGAATGAAACAAATGACTCATGGTTCTCAGTCCTTGGCCTTAATTGCTATGGTGCATATGTGGGAGGGTGAATGGATGGCCAAACTTTGTAATGGATTGATTTGGAATTTGATATTAACTTACATACTGAAATGTAGGAATGATGTACAGCCTGTTCATCGGTTAAGTTTAAATGGCCTTTATACAATGATGAAGATGCAGAGTTTGTAGATATCCAGCATGATGAGTTGATTTGGCTACACTTTATAGAGTGCATTTTCTGAGAGCAATAATAGGCTCACAAAATGGGGTTTTATTAGGTGCCTGCAATTCTTTGGGGTTATGCATCTTGTGATCCCCGATCCTTCAGCCTTTTGAATCAAGGGGTATCCAGTTAATACTGGTGTCTAATATGACCCAATTTCCCTGGAAAAGACAGACCCAGAGATGCTTTCTAACAGCATGCCCTGATTGGAGATTTATTCTAGTACTAAGTTATACCTGTCATTCGCATCTAAGGCCTTAGTGCTAAGGGGGTGGGCAGTAAGTGGTTTCTTCTTGTTCTGATATCTCTCAGCTAAATCAGAGGAAGTGTTGCCCAAAGCGTCCAAGGATTGATTTAATATCAGCATTAAAGCCATCAGTTGCTTGGGACTGACCTGAGCATGTACTTCTGCTGCAAATATTCATCCAGCTTTACAGTCAATTAACAGCTTCCTACACATTAATTTCTAGTTTAATTCTTTGGTTCAAGAATTAAGTCTCCTGTAACTGCTTCAGCAAATGCAAAGCATGCTGTCAGGACGTTGTATTCAGCAGCAGCAAGTCATGCTGTGCTAAGGTATTTGGCTGAAGAGTTGTGGATGTACCAGCTGCTCTTCCTTCCAAATAAAATAAAAGTTGCTGCAGATTGAATGGGGGGTTATGTAACTGTATAACATTTTTGAGAAAAAGGAATCTGAAGTAGAAAACTTCAGAGGCTTTTCAGTGGCTGTTAAGTGACCCAAGGACAGAGTTTTTAACTGCACTTGATTTCCTAGTGAGTATTCTAGACAATGTCATAGTTAGGTTATTAGCTCTAGTACCCGAGGCAAGTGCCATTGTATTAATTACTTTTTGATAACTTAGAACTAGACAAGATACAGGATTCTCCTCTTTCTCAAGTGGTGCAGCTTTGCTAGGTTTTAACTGAAAGCAATTATGTCCCGTGTTAGAGCCAGCCATGTGTCTGAAATGCAATTTCTATGAGATACGTAAAGCGTTTTGGGCTCAGAGAAGCTAGTAAAGTGTAATAAAGTGGTTTTTTGTTTGTATCTGCTGCAATTGTAACAATGGGGGGTTTTGTTTGTTTGTTTTTTTTTCCAGTGAAACCAGCAGTGTATGCAGCAGCAGTGATACTGGCCTGTTTACCAATGATGAGGGCCGCCAAGGTAACAACTGTCCTGTGATTTTCCTGATGTGTTGCTGGGGAATTTCTCTTAGTTTCTTTACAAATACAAAGAAAGATCTGTGTTTGAAGAGGGACAGAGAGGGAAGTATGGGAGAAAGGCCAATGGCTGGGCAGGGCCTGGAGTTAAAAAGGGAACTGAGGGCTACAGAGGTGTGATTTTGATAACTGTACCCTCTTCCTTCTGAAATTCTTTGTGTATCAGATCCATTTGAAATAGAAGCAGCTGGTATTATAGAAATGCACAGAAATACAAGTGGAGTTTTAGAGCTCTCCATAATGAAAGAACAGAGCTTATGATTTGTTTCTATAGGTGTTTTAATTGTTGTCTACATACCATTAGTGCCTGAATCTGTTAGTTGTTTTCTTTAATGGGCAGGAAGAGACAATGTGAAAAAGAAATCAGTTAGTACTGACAAGTCACCTAATGGACTGTGCTAAGAAGACAATGGTAATATCTGATAGAGTTTATTCCTTTAAATACACATTCCTCCCTTGCTCTGGTGTGCATTAGTTGAGCCTAGTATTTTCAATCTCTTGTAGAAATGGTTTCTTAGGAGGTTGGAGTGTGATCTGGTTTTATTTATCATTGACATCACGGTGTCCAGTTTATGGGGGATATGGCAGAAGTAAGTGTGAAAGAGGTTGTAGTAGGCACATAGGCACTCAGGACTATTTGGAGCAGGTGGAATGTGACTCTAGAGACCTGTAATTCTGTGCAGCTTCTGCTGGTGTGCACTCTGATTCTGTCACATTTCACAAGCTAAGATTTGGATGAGATCTCTTCTGGGAATATGTGAGTGCTAAAGGAAGTAGTATCAGTAACTCAGTAGCAAATGCTACTTCCACTAGCTTGTTACTGACCCAGGTATCTGTGTGTGAGGCAACATGATGATAGCAAATATGCTTATGTATTTTCTGATGACATGTTAGGCTGCAGGGCTGATCTGTTGTGATCTTAGGTGGCTATAATACTTTCCCTAAGACTAAGTATTTAAAATATCGGCTTTGACCTTTGTTGAAAAAAAAAAAAACAAAACCCCAACCCATTTCCAGCCTCCCATCCTTCAAAAGCAACAGAAAAGTCAAATCTTTCGTCTTCTCTTTTTACTGATGACTGTTCTGGGGGAGCTGAAATTAGTGAGCACTTGCATATCAGATGACGAAGCAGGGTGGTGACTGAAGTGTTGAATTTTTACTTCATCACCCGAGGCAAGATTGATGTAGACTGGATAAGTGTGTGTGCGCGTGTATATATATCTGCCTCTCTCTACACTTGCCTGTATGCTTGCCCTATATACTTGCCCTCATTTTATACTCTGTTTTAGGCATTAACTTTTAGTTGCTACTAGAAGTAAGATACCTGGTATACAAAAGCATGTAGACTATACTACTTAAATAAATTAATAAAATCCAATTACAGCCTGCCCTGTCTAGGTACTAGAAGTGATTTGACATCCTAGTCATCAGGCCTCTGTTCAAACAGTTTGTACTACAATGGCTTTCTGGCCAAGATGTTTTAGGTTACAGTTATGTAAAAAAGGGTTAAAAACTGTTGTGATTTCAGGTTAAATAAGAAACATCTCCCTTTCCTTTTTGTAGAAAATTTCAAGTCCTAAAATAAATAATAAACAACAGCTGTCCACTTCAGAGAGGTGCAGAGAGCACAAAACCTTTTTTTTTTTTTAGTCACAGGTCATAGTCTTAGAAGTAGTTTTCTAATACAATTCCAAACTGAATAATGGGAAATTTAAGGTAGCAGTGTACTTAAATTTAATCTGTTATTTCCCCCCCCTCCCTTCTTTTGAGGTTATGTCATGTAATACTTGTGCTGTTGCCAATTAAATAGGTTGTCTTAGCAATTCAGGTGCCAGTGCACCTCTGTGAGCAGAGTGGTCCTAGTTTATAATTTGATGGTAAATTTTTTTTGTTAAATGCATGGGGATCTCTCACAGTCAAAGTTACTGCAGTGCCAGCATACGATTGTGATTGTTAAAGTTTGTCTTGTGAGAGTAGTGATTTGAGATATGACAGTGCGTTATGCTCATAGATTCAAAAATGTAGGGATATTTTTGCACAAATTATGATCACTTAGAAGAACTATCCAACATTATTTAGTTTTAATTTACTATAAGGTGGGTAGGGATATTTATGTTTTAAAATATATTTGTCAAAAGCATGTTAGGTCAACTGACATACCACAGAAGTAAAAAGCAATGTCAGAGCTTTAGGATGAAGTGTTCTGGCTGTATTACCTGTTGCTAATTGGAGTTGCTTTTAGGTGTTCCTTCTTCTGTTGTGTGCAAGATTTCAGCATTCTTATCAGGATGAGTTTTTTCTTTTTCTTATATTTTTTTTTCTTTTGTCTGGGAAGATACATAGGTAGGCATAATGGACTTCAGTCAGGGATAATGTAACTTGGTGAGGAAAGGAGAATAAGTGGGGATGCTTAAGTTGAGACTTAATGGTAGGCAAATGAGAGTTTTCCCTAAGTCAGGTGTGTTAGTTTTCTAAGGCAAGGTGAAGCACCTTGCAATTACATGGGAGCATTTGTTAGCTGGGATACTGAAAAGCTAAGTGTGTCATGTTCTTTGCCCTCTTCCTGCTCTTTTCTTACGCTGCTCACATGCTACTGCTCTCAGGGGATTTCTGGCCAGGCAGATTTACCATGAATGGTGTCTGGTGCTGTTCAGTTTTAGACTGCAGCTGCATTAATTACAGTGACCCAGCTTTATGGAAACTTTGGTCATGACTTCTGTTGCTGCTGCTCTAGTTTTGCAGAGGGTTTGTAGTTCTTGCAGATTCTAAGAAATTTTGATTGAGGCGTATTCACAGCATGGTTAGTACTTAGACTCAGAGTGACTGTTTCTAGTAGTAGCTGTTGTCTTAGTAGACTAGGGATCTTTCTCAACAGTGAGTATGCTTCTTTTGCTTGCTCTGTGAGCCTGGTCTTCTGTTGTGAAATCTCTCCTGTGACAGCTTATAACTTGTGCCAAATGATTGGCCTCTACCTCTGTCACAGTAATTACTTCAGAGAAAGAGTTGTGCATAAGACATCACACAACATTGAACTAAGGTTGATGAGATGCAGCCGCAACAGCGTGCTAAAGCTGCCCTAGGCAGGTCTATAAAGAGGGCTTTGTTCTATAGGGAAATTCTGTAGACTGATGAGTTGGATAGTTTAAAGCATTTAGTGAGGCCCCATAGTTACTGCAGATCATTGAAACAGAATACAAATATAAGACTTTTCAGGAAGGAATTCCTAATGAGACTTCAGCTGTTTCACATCCAGAAGTGCCTACCTGTAGTATTTTGTGGGACTGTCACAGGGCACATTGATGTTACTTGTGGCTAATTCCATCCTATTTCTTTAGGAGATGATGAGCAAAGTGACTGGTTTTATGAAGGAGAATGTGTTCCAGGATTCACTGTCCCCAACCTCCTTCCTAAGTGGGGAGCTGACCACCGGTCTGAAGTGGAGCGAATTGACTCGGGCCTGGACAAGCTCTCAGATTCCATGTTCCTCTTGCCCTCACGGCCAGCTCAGAGAGGTGAGGTCCATAAGGAACACCATGTGTTAGAGAATTTTTGATGTGATGGCAAGGGTAGATTCTGTTCACAGGTGCTGCAATTTAAACTGATATCAGTTATCCATTGTTTTAATGATCCAGTTAAAAATAACTGTACTACTGGAGACGGTACTACAATACTCACACTAGCTGCCCACGTTCTTGAGTCTTTTTTATTTTAAATAGGGGTTTTATATGATTTGTGAATAAAATGGCATATCTACCGTCTTGCAGATTGAGAAACAAGAGACAGAGGATCTGATTTGACTCCTGAACTAACTATTTTTCCTGGTGGTTTTGTCAGGAAGAATCTTTTGTATTTGTTGCTCAGTTTTTCTGTGTTTGGTTTTCAGGATTTCACGCTCGCCTGAATCGCCTTCCAGGAGCTGCTGCCCGTTGTCTCCGAAAAGGTCGGAGGAGGCTTGTTGGCAAGGTATTCCTTTTTGCAAGATAATAATTTTGTATTTCCAATACTGATCAGTCCTAAAGTACTGTTCTAAGATACCATGTGAATTGTTTTCTGCAGGGAGGGGCCTTGTACGTTTTTTGTTTCATGTATTGTTTGATTTGTTTAACTGCTTTGAGTGTCAGAAGTTGATTGAGTGACTAAGTGAAATTTAAGGCAGATTTGGAGTAGCAAAGACAGTCGATCAGTGCTAAAAGCAGTATGAAAGAAGGTCTGAAGACGAATGACAGGGAGTGTAAATATCAAGAAGATTTAGACCGAGTGTAGGGGAAAATGATGATAGCATGAGACTTGTGCATGCTCATAATCTGTGACTACAAGGGCAAAGAGGTGACTCAAAGGTGAAAGAAGGCGAAATTTTAGATAGAGAAGCAGACTGATATGAATGGCAGCAAAGGAAGGTGGTTTAGCTGTTGCATTTTTAGTGGGGAGAGAGAATAATAAAAGGATATATGTAATAATGTAGACAAAGTTACCCAAAGCCATTGACTAAGTTTATTGTATGTAGGGCAAACAACAATCAAAATATTAGTCCTGTTTCTAAAGGAATAAACAATACTTTGCATATGCCTGTGTAAAAGAGGGAGGGATATACCTGGTCGGGTCTGGATCTTGGAGTGTTGAGTGCTGCTGTCTGTTGTAAAAGATGTTCCTGAGAAGGAAGGCGTTGGCTGTGTTTGGCTTTACTTTTATTGGGATGTGCTCTGTGCTTTTGAAAGTACTGGCATATATTCTGAGCGAACTAGTTTTAGAGAGTCTGTTAGCAAGGTGTGTTAGAGGGTCCTGGAGTCTAGAGGAGCGTGACTTCTTCCTTCTGTTCAGTCACACTTGAAAGATCCTTGTTTGCTCCTTCTTTCTTCCACTCACCTTAGTTGTAACCAGTGTTTAAAATATGAATCCTCAACTGGCAAGGGACTGGCTTTAGGTAGGGTTCCTCAGGCCACCTGCAAGTGGCTGGGCCTGTTGGCAGCACCTCTAATGATCCAAATGAGAAGGATAATATTTACTTGTTTAATTTATCTTCATCACCTTAAAGGGATCTTTGTCATTTGCAGCGGAGGTCACTGCTCCCCCTTCCCCATCTCTCTCTAAATGGTAATCATAAATAATGAGTTTCATTCAGAGCTCCCCGCCAGCGAGCTGCTAATTACCAAAAGTACGGCTTGTAATTTACACAGTAATAAACCATAAATTTAAACATTACAGCACTTTAAGTTAATAATTTTCCTGCTGTAACAAATAGCCCCTCTTTCACCCCTGCTGCTACAACTTCCCCCAAACTTTATGTTTTGCCTATGTACCTGACACAACTTGTGAAGAATCTTATCTGTGAAACCCTTTTACCCTCATCTTCAGACCCTTACTGCAAAGTGTATTATTTTCTTGGAGGTAGTTGCTGTGCAGATATGAACAGCTGGTGCTTCAGGCTGTGTGTGTACTTGTTAGCCAGCATCAAGCTATACACAGGGCAGTGTCTTGCAGGGAGAAGCGTGCTCCCAGAGCAAGTTCTTTCTTCTAGGATCTGTCTTTTATTTAGCTGCTAGAGGTCCTGCTGCTGAATTGCTGCTTTCAGAAAGGGTGACATCCTTATGAGTACTCCTTGTTACATTCACCTGTGCTTGGTGAATCCCCATTGTTAGTGGGACAGTGTGATGTCCTGTCTCTCAGCCTGTTTCTGGCCCAGCTGACCCCAACAACCTGGAAATAAGGACTTCTCAGCCATTTCCCCTGTGTCCTTGTGCTCCATACTTTGTACTGGTCCAGTCCTTGTTGTGCCCCTGTGCAAGCAATTATTGTCACTAAAATAATAAAAGCAAAGCCCCACAAATAAAACTGAATGATTTTCTGCCACTGTAATTAGTTTTATCAGCTCAGTTGAGGTTCTAAAATGATAGGGTGAATATGTTTAGCTGAGAGTGGGTTGGGAAGGAAAGGATGTGGTCCAGGGGAGTAAGATCTGTTCTTATTGGCAGCAACAAACTATTATGTTTGCTCACTGTGTGAGAGTTTGCAACCTTTTACCTGTCTTTGTGTTTCAGGAGACCTCCATGAGCACTCTGGGCACCGAGAGGCTAGGTCATATTGTTAGTGATCCGCGCCAGAAAGAGTAAGGCCCTCAACAGCTGTTATGTAGAACTTTGGGAGGGGAGGAAGAACTATAGGGTCATCTTCCCTCCTGGGACTGAAGGGAATGAAGAGCTGGTGGTAACTTAAGCATGCAGTGACCTGTGGAATGGGAGACAGTCCTCTACTGACAGCTTCTCTGTTTCCTTATTTGCAATTGCTGACTTCCCTTTTGTTTATAAGGCCGCCCCAGTGTGTGGACACTGCTCAAATACCCTTTTGGTTACAGCTTTTTCTTTCCCCCTTCATGTGCCATTGTAACAACTGCAGATCTTCTGCACAGTATGAGAAGACTGCGCCCTATATTTTAGTTATTTAAAAAGCTTCTCTGTGGAGTCATGCTATGGGCGCATACCCAGACTGCAGAGATGATGCTGACAAGGCACATGCGAAATTGCTTTCTCTTTCTTTGGTGTTCTGTCTCTTTCCCCAACTAGTGTATTTAAATTGTGGTCAGCACCGGAAATAGTCAGGCTGCCTATCCTTTGGCATCCCTCTAATCTGATTATTGTTGGGCAATGGGTAGGTGAGGGTGGTACCTCTTGACTGTAGTGGAGTGGGTCCAGCTTTCACCAGCTGTTGGTATCAAGTTTTCTTCCTTCGATCTGACATTTGTTGTTTTTAATATGAGTCCTGCTGATGTTTAATCTTTCTCCTTCTCCTTCCATCTTTGTTATTCTCTTCCTCTTCTCTCCTTACCCCCAACCTTCCCCCTGTGTTCATTCCTTCCCTGGCATTGCTCCCACCTGTCCTTCCGACTCTGCCTCCTTCCAGTTTTTGGCTACCATCCATGGGGAAGAGAGATCGCAACCAGGTAAGCTGACTCTGCTCTACCTTTTTTATTTTCTTGGTTTCCTTCTCTCTAGAAAGAACAAAGTGCTGGCTTCTGATTTCCCACACACTGTGGCTTGTGCACATGAGGTAAGGCAGCCCTGTCCTTTCTCATTTTGGTAACTGATGTCTTCTGGGCTTTGAACACAACCCATGTCTCAGGCATTATATTGTTTATTTAAACTCAGTAGCTCAGGAACTCCTTTGTTTATCTCCCTCTTTCAGGTTAGTGTAGGCCTTCCTCTCTGACAGTGAGTGGGAGTGAAAATGCCTCTTGGCAGGAGGAGCTTTGGCCTCTCAAAATTCCATAAGAATTGGAACATTTTTCTTTTTTTAAATGAGTTGTTTTGCCTTGTTTGGCTCAGGCTTCTACCTGATAGTCTCATCAACAGAGAAGGGAAAAAATAGTGAGCTGATTGTAGTTAAATAGCAGCCGTAAGAGGAAAATGTAAGGGGTGATAAGCAAGAGAAATAGGCATGCTTGTAACTGAAACTCTTGTCTGTGTGCTTTTATATTCTCCAGTTAGTGTTTCATAGTTTCAGTGCTAGGAGGCTTTTTTACTTAAGTTGTAAGAGCTCAGGTTCTCGATAGCAGAAAGCAAAAAGGATCTTCCATTTGAGCAGTGGTGTTGTAACGGTGCTCCTAGCTGTGCACACTCCCTTCTGTTCCTTTGCAAGTTGGTTTTTGGTTGGTGAGCAGTAGAATTGAAATGTGTTTTACCCTTCAGGTGACTAAAAATACATATATGGTAAATAATTTTCAGGGCTTTGTGCAATTGTATATTTTCTGTTCATGAGAACATTTCACATAGTACTTTTATATTGCTAAAGATAAGAATGATAACTACATAAGCTTTAAAATGAACAAAATAAATTACTTTCGTTTTTCTTAAATGAACTTGAATCGGCTGCAGAGGGTTACTGGTGATTCTTCCTACTGTGCAGCTGAAGTGATATTTCACTGACAGTAAACTAACAGTCCAACTGAAGGAGGAGCTTCCTGATAGCAGTAGCTTTGTGGTGCATAGTGACTTCTTTCTCAGAAAGGTTGAAGGCAAAGGCCTAGTATGGAGTTCAAGAGTTGCAGATAGCTTTCTTGATGAGTCCTGATACAGCTGTGGATTATTCATTTGTCCTTATTTAAAGATGCCTCAGTAATCCTAGTATACAAGAAAAGTGTTCTGGAGATTGGTGTAGCACTTTGCAAAGCAGATAAAATGAATTTCCTGATTGTGGTGTGAATATAAATGCAGAGGAGGTGCTGAATGGAAGTGTAATGCAGGTACCCCAAAGAAACTGCCAGTCTAAACCTTCTATTTGCATATTGAGCAAAGTTTGCTCCATGCATTGATTGACTAGATTATTTCGTTTGTGTCCTGACCTTTGAAAAAAGAATCGTAAGAGTTGCATTTTCTACAACAAGCTGTCTTGCACAGATTTGATGCCTACAGGATTTGTCTGGCATATGTCTCACAAAGGATCTAAGATTAGCCTGACCATGCAGTGTTTTGGAAATTTGTTTTAAGCAGTTTGCAAAGAAAGCTTGTGAAGTGTGTTTGGAGTTGGAGGAGCAGCTCACTTGCTGTGGAATGAATTGGGAGTTCATTGTAAACTGAACCTGGTGGGCCTGAGTCTTCTAGAGGTCTGTTTCAGTGATACATATGGCCATAGGGAATATTGGAACTGCTCTGTGGGAAGTTCTGTGCTTGCATCATTCATAACAGTGACTTTTCTCTCTACAACATGGAGGTAGGCAAGAGGCTTCCCAAAAGGGAGGCAGATTTTTTGCTTATGGCATACAGCAGTAGAGCTCTTTGAGTATGCTCTTAGTCAACCACCATTTTTAATAATGCGAGTTGAAAGAAGAGTGTGCTCATAAGGCTACCTGTTGTGAGAAGATGGTTATCGGATTTGCTGTTGCACCCTGTGCTAGCCTTTTGTCTGAAGTGAGAGTCAGTTCTCACCTAGTCTCACCCCTTGATATGTCAGAAAGTTCTCCTTATACTGTATGAATTATAGGGAATAGATCAGAGCAGCTGTATCTGGAAACTATTTCTTTTAACGCTTTGCTTAAATAAAATCTCTTGACTTTCCAGTTCAATCCATTATCTCCTCTGTACTCTCTGGATGTGCTTGCTGATGCTTCCCACCGAAGATGCTCACCAGCACACTGCACTGCCAGGTAACTCCCTTGCTCTGCTCTGTTGGGGTTGTGTCACTTCCCTCCCATGGTTATCTTCAGTAGTACTATGTGATCTGAACAATACTCATGGACCTGGAAGTTAACTCACTTAACCCCAGGAGGCCTGTGTTCAAACTTAGCATAAAACATACTGACGCAGATTATTTGAGAGTCTCAATACACAAAGCACCTAGAGTATATGAAACAGTATATGACAGACAGGCAGAACATACTGTGCTTTTAGAAATAAATGTGATCTGTTCTGGATTGTGCAGTAAGTTGCTGCGAGTCTGTTGTATAGGTACAAATGGGCATAGTATTGTTGCCCACTACTAAAATCAGAACAAGATGAGAGTGAAAGTGCTGACAAGCTTGTGTGGGTGACATGCTGAGGCATTTTCGTGTCCTGGGTGCCTAAAATAGATCCTCTGGGCAGATACAGAGCTCACCTGAGGTGACCTCTAATGGTTTGATATCTCTCTCTGTTGGTGTATCTGAATTTTAGATCTGGTCTGGCTAAATGTTGAGGTATATTTGAGTCTGCATAGTTGGGGTTAATATGCTACTCATGCACTTTCTGCTGACTAATCCTAAATTAAATTCAAGTGTTGGCCTTGGATGTGACTCCTGTTCTTGTGCTGCAGGTGACTGTCTAAAGGTAAGGTGCCCTTGAGCTCTTTCCCTGTGCAAGGAGACAAAGTCTTGCTTGGGACTCAATTCTGCTTATGTGTTTGTACGAAGGACTAAATCTGAAAGAAACGTCTGGACTTCCAGCTTCATGGCTTTCTTTCCCTTGTTAATTAGCAAATAGAGCATGAAAAATGTACTGAGGTTGTATGTGTCTGAACGAAAGCTTGGCATCTGCCCAGCAAAGCCTCTCCTCCCACTGGCTTCTGCAGGGAATTTTGTGATGTCGCACCATGACCTCATGCTGCTGTAGCTAGCATGTTAAAGCTGGAAACGGGGAGGGAGGAAGAAATTAGCTCCTCAACATTCAACTGGATAAGAGTAAAAATAATTCAGAAGATTGTGCATCAGCAAATTGGTTCCTTTCTTTGCTTTTGCCCCATTCTGGGGATGTTTTGTGCCCAAGAAGCAAGAAGGTTGGTTGGTCTCTTCATTTACAGCTAGGATAATCTTTGTGCCTCGAGGGTTTTACTTAGTGCTCTACAGAAGTTTGTCTTCCAGAAAGGAGAGCTAGACAAATCCTGCTCACGAATTCAAACAGGGCAAAGTCTCTGCCTGACGATCAGTGCAGGCCCTTTCCAAAGCTACTGGTTATGACAAGGGATTTCTAAACCTGGAGGGATGACGTTTGCTTGGTTTTACTGAGTATGTAGTCTAATTAACCAATGAATTTATGCTTGATTTCTTCCACTAATGAACAGGTGACTGGTGTCCTGACAAACATAATCTCTGATTACTGAATGTTGGCAGAAAAGTTGTCCCATCCCAGAGGTGGTTGAGTTTTTAAGTGCCTGTAGTTTGAGAAAGTAGTTCCTGTTTTATTGTGAAACGTGCTCAATAATCTCTATAGAAGATAGAAGCATGGAAAGAATGACTGTGTTATGTGGCCTCATGTATGTGGCAAGGATTGAACTCTGGTGCAAGGTGCTTACTTTATGTAAAGATGCTGCCAAGGGCACAGAAGGAAATTGTTCCTTCACAGATGCGTTTTCTTGACGATAGTTGTTCTTTAGGTGTTTGAAGAGCCAAGCCTATTAGTAGTCCATTTTCTTACAGAAGGGTCAGGTGATCTCTGTAAACGTTGTTCGGCCGTTGCCCCCGTTAACATCTTCCTCTTTTGCCATAGAGTCAGTTCTGGTAGTTTGTGCTTTAGTAAGCTCGTAACAGCTTGCACTTCATCCTGGAGATTCTCTACTCAGAAATTTGTCAGAATGGTGTGTGTGTTTGAGAGCTAATTCCCTGAGAATGATGTGATGTGTTAGAGAAGAAACTGTCTTGATGGTATGGACATCCAATTTATTCAACCTGATGCCCACCATGCCATGGAAAATTACCTCTCTGTGCTTAGTTTCTGCTATCACAAATGTGTGCAATGGAATATAATTACCAGGTGAAGTCTTTTCTCTCCAGTCAAAATGTTTACTTTGTCTCAATGGTGGATTTTGGTGCAATTCATCTGGAAGACTGGTAACTCAGTGCTTAATTTAAGGAGAGCTGAAGGCCAGAATACTGAGCACAGTTGGGGGTGTTCAAGAAAGGCTTTTCAGTGTCAAGGAGGGAGGTTCTATCTATGTGGAGAGTTCCTTGGGAAGTCTTATTTGAAAGGCTGTAGAAATTGTACACTACCAAGATTACCTTTCTTGCTTTATGTCTGTGATGAGAAGAGATTTCATTCAAAGTGTATGCACAGCATTGGGAATTTCACACCCATCATTAGAAGCAGTTTTGTGTGTGTGGTGACTGTTATCATTAGTGGTGTAATTTTATTTTGTGAAGCGAGGAGAGTTTCCTGCTTTCTTGCAATCCTCCCGAGGGACGGCTGGTGTATTAATTTGCTGTATTGCCTCCTGGCTGTTCCCAGGCTGTTTTTCCTCTTCATCATGGAATTTTTAATGGCCCTGCTGCCTCTCGGGAGGCATGCAAGGAAGAGTACCTCAGGGATCTCTTCCCTTTTTCACATGCCTATAATTACTCTCCTTTAAGAGCACAAAGCGTTTGCTAATCATGTCTTGTCTGTTAAGGTTTCGGCTTCATGATGCAGGCTGTTAAAAGCAAGCAAGTAGAGACTTGCATGGACAGCACAAGTGATCCTTCTCCTCTTTCCCCTCTGCCCATTTGCCTCTCTGGGAGAAAGGAATGGTCTGAGCAGAATTTTCTTCTTGAACTTCTGATTAAGAGGATTTTGTAAAGGCTCAAATGGAATATCTTGTTAGATTTTAGTTATTCAATGACTCTATCGATGGGAAGACGTTATAGGTTCTTGGTTGGTGGAATGTTATTCCCTTGAGGCAGGTTAAGAGTTTCAGGAGAGCCTACAGCCAGTGTTCCCTTCAATTTGAGTTTGAATAGCAGGTAGGATAAGAGAGGAACATAAAAGATAAATTGCCCCCAGTGCCATTTATTGTTTGCCTAGCCTTGAAAATAAGGTTATGGGTGAAAAGCTCAGTTAAATGTTACCGCTGGAGGTCATAGGAGAAGTGGACCTCAGATGGCAAGTGGATGTTGAAGGTGGAGATTTGAAAACTTATGTTAGAGAGACTTCTGAACAGTACAGATGAATCAAATAAAATCACTTTGCGTGTCCTCTCAGTTAATATAAAGCTAGAGTTTAATTGGGTTTAGAAGCAAGTCTCTCATCTTGCCTGGAACACAGGGTAAAGATTAAAGGGGTGAATGATCATCTCCCAGTAAACTGCCCGTTGCTCCATATGCTGGATTTGGTGGTGCTGTTACAGTGAAAAGGTTTGAATGTCTTTAATTCTAGTTCCAGCTCTAGAAATATGCTCATCAAAGTAAATTTTGTTCTCTCTTCTGTATCTGTGCAGAGATCCTGACATTTCTGCCTCTTACCCAAGCATGTGGAAGTACAGGGATTGCCTGCAATGTTAAGCCTTTCCTGAGGCAGCTGGAGGTGTGAACGGATGTTCACAATTTCATGCTTTCCCACTTGACCAGGACAGTATCCAGTTCATTCCATGCAACCTGTCCCACATCTTAATATTCCTGGAATTGTCTTTATGTAAAAATGTCTGCTGTCAACTGCATCTTTCTCCCTAGTTTTTTTTAAACTATTTTTTCCATTTAGCTGGAGCACTTTCATGTCTTCCTCTGCTAAAGCCTGGCTAATATTCCAGTTGAGGATATAACTGAATTCTTCTGACAGGCATGCAATGAACAGCAGCTATCAACCTAGTGTCACATGCAGTTGTCTGAGGCCTAATGCTCCCATTTTGGTGAATCCTAATTCTCTGGAGTGAAAAATAAATTCCCCTTGGCTTGTTTACTTGCTATTGCTTTCTTCTCCTATAAAGCATGTTGCCATTATCAAATCTGTGTACTCAGCAGGTCTGGCAAATATTAGGACTCTTTCTGGCACATATTAGGACTCTTTCTGGCACAGATATCATGTGATTCAGTATGAAAATAGAGAATGCGATGTATGGGATCACATCGTCTCTGCTTAGAATGCTTACATGGAAAACTGGAAGAAAATCTGTTCATTTGCTTTTGCCACACACAGACTTTTAGGAGTGGAATTGCTACGTTATTGGAATGCTTACTGCTGCATGAAGACCTATGAGATTTGGATGATTGAAGAAGTGAGCTGACCTGTTCATGATTTTGGAATCTGAAAACGTGCTCTAGAAGCTCTCTCATGGGGCTCTGCAGGGCAGAGGAGACTCTGCTACGCGCAGGAAATACCTGCACTGTGATGTGATAGCAAGAACCACTTGCATGCATGGGAGCTTTGTGTGGAGATTGGATGAGTGACTCGTATTGATTTCCACGTGTTATGCACAGATCAGAGTTTGGTGCCCAGTTGGCTCTATAGTCAAAGAGGAGAAAGAACTTTGCTTTTACTATTCATTTTGTGAAGCTGCCATCAACAGCTTCAGTAACACCTCAGGGCTTAGAGAAAGAGCCTGTGTTTGCTGGGAGTATAGCATCGCAACAGCTGGGTTGTGTGGAGTTTTAGTAGCAGTATCCTTGTTAGAAGGCTGTCTTTGTTGAATGTTTACTTTAACATGAGGACAATAGCATCCCTTGTTTGTATGACAGTAGATTAATGTCTGCCTCACACTTTCACTAAATAATCCAAGTGCTTTGCTTCCTCCAAGGATAGGGTTAGAATAAAGATTGTCAGCAGAGAAGCTGGATGGTGTGAGACTGCAGTGAGAAGCACACACCCCCAAGTGTGTGATGTGCCTCCTGCCTCCAAGAAGGCCACAGACTGTCATTGTTAGCTCTGTAGGGTCTTCTCAGAGGCCTCTGTTGTGAGATTGAGGTGTTTTTTACCCTGTATTTTGAGAACGTGGACAGCACTTTACAATCTAGACATTTCTTCACAGATAGTGAAGGTTTCAGGGGCCTGATGCTGTTCAGTAAGGTTCTTTGTGGGCTGTATGGTCTGCTTGTGCTCTGTATTGTCTACTCCAGATTGTACTGCCAATCCTACTTTTCTGTTCAAACCCTGTGGTAGATGTAAAGTTGTGGCAAGCTCCTGTGACAAGTCCTGCATGTGGTCACCCTGAACAGTAGGAGTGAGATAGGAGTCCGGTGTATGCAATTACAGTTCATTTAAAAAGAAAAAAAAGGCACAAAATAAATATGTGGAAAAGAAAAGAAAGGAAGCATTACTTCTGACACATTAGAGACAGCAGTGAACCTCAGCTGACCTCCATGCAGAATCAGGTACCTCAAGTACTATGTTAAGAACAAGAAACAAATCCATATTTCCTGGATAATTCCTTTAGTTTGTGATTAAAAAAAAAAAAAGAAATCATCACCGTCAGAAAGACACTATAGACTTTTTGCATATAAACCCATTTTTTCTATATGCGTGTAGTTTTTCATTCACTTAACTCCTGGCAGTGAGAGGCTGCAGTGTGAGTTGTATATATTGCAGCCATCAGTGTAGCCACACTTTGGATCCTGCTTTGTCTCTCCAGGTGTGTTCTGCTTTTTATCATCCCAGGTTGGAATTTCAGTCTTCTCCAGATTGTAAACTAGGCTTTCGCATTAGTCTCTGGTCACCTAGCAGATCCAGCCGTGACTGAGTATTGCGACTTTGGGGTTTTTTTTGTATGATCAACCAGCCATAGTCCAAAAGTAACCAGGCAATTATTTTCTCATTACTGTTTGTGCAACATTGCAGAAAGTATATAGAAGCGTAGCAGAAGAGATTGAAAGCCAGTAAGGACAGAGTAAGTACCCTTCTATTTTCTCAGTTTAGGCCCAGATCTTTCATCCCACAAAGCTCTGTGCCTCAGACTTCTTCACAGAGGGGCCTGTGACAACGCTTTCCTCTCTTCCTGTTCTATTCTACTTCAGAGTAATTTTTAAACTGTTCAGAAGAGTTGTTAAAATTCAACTTTGGCAGAAAAACAAATTCATAGTTGCAGCCTGTCAGTGAGATTTTCACAATTTATAGTGCAGCCTGTCCACTGCAATGTTGTGTGCTGTGCATACCCATGACCTGACTTTCCTGGTGGTGGTGTTTCTAGGAGTCTGCTGTTAAATGAGGATTCACCAGTTCTATTCTCTTACCAATATAGCACCTGTATGTGAGCTAGTGATTAGAAATTTAGATTGAAAAACGTGGTATCTACCAAAAAATGCATGTTTCATAAATTATACCTCAGACACCCTGTCTGTCTGTGTCTTAATGAGGACTATCATCCCTGCATGCATTCTTCTGCTCCTCTCTCTCCCAAGGTACCTACCACCTGGAGATTCCCTCTATGCAGATTTATGGTGTCCGTAAAGTGCACCAGCCACTTGAAACTGACACTTTTAGCACCAGGTCAGTCAGAGCCAGTGAGTAATCAATAGATTCCTGATTTACTAACTGAAGTGTGGGTGATCAATAAGGGATAAACCTGAATGAAATACATGTTACAGAGACAATTTATGATGTCTGAGCCTTCGTGTGTTAGAGGCAGGGCTGCTAGATGCAATTTCCTTGCTATTAGTCTCCAGCTGGAATATAGTTTGCCTTTACTTTGACTACAAGAAAGGATTTTGAGGTTCTCGTATTCTGTTTTCCTTTTTCTTTTTTTTTTTTACCCACTGTGTAATTATGAGATAAGTGTAGATGTGTTTTGAGCATGAAGCTGAGAACCAGGCGCTTTTATACGAAATCTAGCTGTAACATTTTTGAACTGGGAAAAAATTGCACAAAATCTCTTGGAAATGATAGTGCATACTTCTTTCCTAGTTTGTAGTGATTCTCCAACAAGAATCAGCTGGCTAATGTTGATATAAGTTCATAAAATAAAAAGGGAACCTTATTATTAATATGTGATAAAATGAGTTAGATTATTATATATAATAATGTGGTCATCTAGTTAGTAATCTAATACCATGTCAGTGACGCAAAATAAAAAACTGAAGTTCCACTTGATTGACTGATCTTTTCCTTGGGCTGTGTGGGCCTAGATATTTCAGAATACATGGTAGAACTGTGCTAAAATACTATATGGCCACTGTCATAATCATGTATAAAAGCAGTTTTTAGCATACGCGAAGACTGAGAGGTTAGTCACTTGTGTGTACAAACACAAAATCTGAATATGCAGTCGTGTAGGTGTAGTGGTATTTTCGAAAGCTTTTAGTTCATGTTTTCAGGAGATGTCTGGTTGTATTAATATGCGTTCCCAGATTAAAAATTAGAAAAATTAGCTGTCAGTGAAACTTAGCACAATTTAAACATTTTTGAAACTATTCCTTAATGTCAGATTTAGATCACAGATCTTGTAGACTTCTTGTAGAACTTTTGAATTTTAGTTGAGACGACAGAATGGTAGATATTTCTTTATTATTTTGTGGTTGTGCATTTGTTACAGGTAAGTAGGTAAACACAGCAGCATTCAAGCAATTTATAGTCTTGGCTGGCATAGGAAATTTTTTGTGCTCCCTACACTGTTCTGTATAGCTACAAAAGCACAATTCAGCTTTGCATAAATTCAGTGTCTAAAACTGTATATATTGTAAATATGCTGCTTTTTTTTTTAAAGTAGATTTTGGCATGGAAATACGAAGCTGTGAACTTTTCCCTTTGTTATCTGTAAAAGGTTTCAATACTTGATAAATATGTTTGTTAAACTTTCAGGATTTTTTTAAAATCAAAATAACAAGCTTTAAATGCACAGAAGCTTTTCATCACTTAATCATCAAAATTTATATGGTTCCAGTCTTTACACCATGTAAGCACCTCACAATCATTAATGGATTTTATTTACACTGTAGTTCTGCATTTTGCACTTCAGATCTGATGCAGAGAGTGACCAAGGAACTTGCCAAAGAAACTGTTATCTCAGACAAAGCAGGGATTTGAACCAAACGTCATTGCTAAATTATGCATTTGTATTCATTATGGATTGTATTTGAGAAGGTTCTCTGGTCTGCTGCCAAGACTGTCTTTTCTGAATTAAGCTTCTCTTCTTCCTACGTCTAGAACTTGGAGGAGTGCTCAGTTCAAGTCAGTCCCAATAATGCAGGTTTCTTCTTAATTGACAAGTGGTTAAACTGGTCATCAGTAGGCTTCAGACTTAATAGTTGATATGACTGGGACAGATTTTCCCTTTCAGCCAGTTTACAGGTGCAGCAAGGCTGTGTTGCTGTGAGCCAGATTCAGCTGTTTTCATAGTATTTTGATAAGGAAATCATAATTTTGAAAACACATGAGACAGTTTTGCATTCCTAACTTTATGAACTTACTACTGTAGGGGAAACAATATGTGTGGACATTTGGAATATAGGTACATTCTAAGATGACTCTACAGTATTAAACAGGTTGCAAAATAATTTCTGAAAAAGGGAGCAAATATCATGCAATTTCTTTAAAGAGCGATCTTGCAGATATTTGTTGCACTTGTATAGAAGTAATGGCAGGACCTGAGTTGTATCACTGCTTGATCACATCTTTACTTATGCAAAGAGTTATTTTAAAATTAATACAAAACCAGATCCTCTAAAGGCTAAGAGATAATTATTCTTCCGTGCCGTTTATGTGTGTGAGCTCTTACAAGAAATGGGAGCACAATCATATATTAAAGAAGAACGTGAGCAGAACTTCCCTGAGAAGCTTTTGATGTGTGCTGCCTACTAGTTAAGAAGCTGGTGGGAACGTGAGAGTTGGAGGGTGATTGGCCAGAGTCTTACAGGAAGGCAATACTGGAACAGAGTTTAATTTGTTTTAATTTCTCTATAGGCAAGCAAATGTACACCTGGGACCACCATGTTCAAGGGACATCAAGAGGAAACGAAAGCCAGCTGCAGCCTCCATGTCCAGCCCAACATCAGGTAATCTGTGTGCTGGCATTTCCAAAGTTGTGTTCTTCTTGAGCAAAGTGCCAGAGTAACAATAGTCAAAAATAGCATTACCTTGATTTGAAACTAGTGAAATGTGTGTGGGAGACAATATCATGTGTTTTTGCATAGCATCAAAAACTGCCTACTAAATAAATCTTTGATGATGCAGCTATGGTAAGTTAATATAATTTACAGTGTTTCACTGTACATTGGGTAATAATCTGTTTCTTCATAAGGTGTTATTTCCACGGTTCCTAAATTATGCAGTACATGGTAATAAGGAGGTGATCAGTGTTCACAGTGTGTTTCTTCAGTGTTGGGCTGATATTAACTGGTGGCTCTGGTACCCTTTTTGAGGGTGTTTGTAGACACTTTCACAGGAGCAGAAATCTGGCAATTTTTATATCATCACTGGGTGAGACCAACTAGTCCCTGAGAGTTGTCTTACTCTCGTGGATGAAAGTAGTCACTTTTTTCTTTTCCTTGCTCTGGGGATGTAGTGATTAAAATGCTGGTTTATTTTCGTGTGGCATATTTCTGGAAAGTGAATGATTGCTCATCAGAATCTGAAAAAGTTTTAATCGGCAGAAGGCAGAATCTGGCCTCTCACTCTACCCCCTTTTGAAATATTTTGCCTACTATCAAGCAACCCATGTTCTTCCAACTATTGTTGTAATCCAGTAACTAGGTGGTTGGTAAGCCAATGGGGGAAAACGGTGATGGGAAAACAGTGGGGAAGGCCAAAGAAACTGATCATGAATAGGAGGAATGAAGTTTGGATTTCTTCCTTGCGTGAGTGGATAGGCAGTAGAATAATGAAGTAGGGAAGAAAGTTGTGCTAGCTCTCCAGGCCACAGATCTGGATTACAGACTGCCTGAAAGGTTCTGTATTAAAAAAGAGGAAAACAGAACATTAAATCTGTTGCTTAGTGGAAGTGTCATCTGTTATTGGCTATTTATTTAGGATATTCTTTCCTGGCTGTTGAGTAATCCATGCCAGGAGATTCAAACTTCTGTAGTGAAAGGGTTCATAAAATCGTATATCCATAGCCACAGAATTTTAGTTCTGGGATACTAGGTTTTCTTGATATGAATGCTAGTGCGTCACTGTCCCCTGTTACATTGAGTGTATTCTGTACTGCATTACTGGTCACTGTCTATAGGGAGAGCTTTTACTTCTATGCCTATGTGTTTCAAAATAGGCAAATTGTATAGTAAACACTTTTTGAAGAGTTAAATCAGCATCTGGAGTGGAATTCAGTACTGGAAAATAGCACAGAGGTTTAAAAGGTTGGTGTATTTTGAGGGATGAAGGAGAGAAAATTAGAGTATGTATTACAAAATGTGGAGATAGAGTGTAGTTACCAGAATCTGGACAGGATGCTTGTGCTGAACATCAAGAGAAAAGTGCTGCAAGGTCTTTAATGGTCAGAAATGATAAAGATCTCTTCCTTAGACCCTTTTTAGAAATATCTCCAGCAAAGTTAACAGCTGTGGGCGGGGGTTTGCTACAATATTGACTTGTGGAAAGAAACTTTTATGATTAGGTAACTGAAACTGTGTTGTAGCTGACTTTCTACAGCAGACTCCCAATTGCAGCTGAAGCACAACGTGGGGATGTAACTTGGAAACTTCTGAAATCTGGATATTTCTGTCAAAGGTGATCTGACTTTGGAATTACTAATGCCTAAAGAAATACATAGGGTTACTCTGCAGTAATGTAGGATTAACTGAAGATTGTTATGCTTGTTAGACATTGATGAGGCAGATATAGATTTTTGTCCTTTGCCATGGATCTACTTGCCCCTACATAGATGTCTTATACTGGGGATCCTCTGTACCTGAGGAATCACGGCAGTCTCATTTTCTCACTACAGAGGCTTTTTATGTTTGCGGTGTTTTACTTTTTCTGCAAAAGATGAAACACAGGTGAATCAGAACACAGACCCATGCCTGTCACTCCGGGCACACAGAGGTGCTGGATTTCTTCACCTTTAAATAGCTCCTTAGCTGAGTCCAACTGCTGTCGTCTCACTTGTTGACCAGGTCCTGCTTCAGTGATCTCCTTTTTTGCAACCTGAGTGCCCCATGGAGGTGAAGGACACAGCCTGAGCTGGCTTCATCAGTCAGCAGAACAAATGGGCTTGCTCTGCCGAACATCGGGCCATCTCGGATTCCACCTCTTTTATAGAGATGAGTGATGAAGAGGGGCTCGTTCTGCTTTGCCGCTGTATTAATACACATCAGGGGCCAGCTCCCGGCACTAAATCACGCTACTGCATACATCTGTTATCGGACTCCTCACCAGTGTGATGAACAAGACTGCAGATAGAGGCTTCCTCATGTCATTCTTTATAGGATTTTCCTAAAAGAATAAATAGCTCAAATCTCTGCCAACACTCTCCCCTGTCATTGTGATGAATTTAGCTTCTTTCTTAAACATGCAGCTACAAATCTTCCCCTGTCGCCTCACCCCCCACCATCCACAGAAAGTTTTGAGTTGAATTTGGTTGAAATCAGAAGATGCTAATAAAAGGAATACGAGATGTGGATGCTATCTCCCTTCTAACTGCAGGAATGAGAGAAGGGAGTTAGAGATATGTTTATTTAGGAACATCCAAACTAAGTTTATTCTGTGTCTTCTCACATACTTTTATGAATGTATTTTATGGGTTCTGGTAAAACATATTTTGCCAGAGATCCTTGTATGAACATCAAAAAACATGCATTACTGTAACAGAAGTGCCTAGATATTTATTGTATTGTTACAGCATTAAACTTCTGGTATTAGTTCTGCCATCTTAGGCTAATTGGCCTAAATACCATAACTGAGGTAGCTGTTGGAAAAAGGTCTGGCTGTTGAGAGCAACAAAAAGTGGGTAGAAAATTCAGAACTCATTTGCACTTCAGGAAGTGACTATTCTCAAAATTGAGTTGAGCAAACTTATGCAAATGTTGAGAGGGATTGAAAATGAAAGTTAGTGTTTTCCACACTACACAGTTGAGCAATGTGTTGAGCCCTAAAGCATAAGGCTTTCACCGGGTAAGAGCAAAAGTCTGGTGTAATTTGGCAGTAGAATAAGGAAATCTGGAGGAAGTAAGACTGGCTATTCTGGATAAGACCAGAAGTTCATCCAACTCAGTGACCAGCAGCCAGTGACTAGGGAGGAACAAAGTCTGTCCTGATAAAGGTCCTTCAGACTTTCAGTGATCTAAGACTTCGGGTCTTCAAAAGGCATGGATAGTGTCCTTGTGTTTAGTTACTTTCTGTTGCAGTGCAATAGATTTGGAATAATGTCCTCAGTGGCACAGTAGAGCTTGTGAGAAATACTGTATAAAATGTTATTCTTATGGTAGTTATTCTGTTGTTTGAAAAGGATCTGAAGAAGACTGTCACGTCAGAATACGCCACAAGTATAGATGGTTGTGAAATAAATGGTGAACAATTGTCTAGCCTTACATTGATGTTTTTAATGTTTATGTGGTCCAGTCCCCAATATATGTAGCAGTGCACAAGGTAACTAGCGTCCTATTCAGGTATTACAGTGAGTCTGGGGTAAAAATCTGCGTAAATAAGTTTTTGTCTGCTTTGGCATGTATTCACACTGAGCTTGTGAAAAATAATAATTTCTAAAAGGTGCCAGTTAGCAACCTCTGAAACTGCTTATCAGAGAACAGTCTGATGACTAGTAGCGATGTGCTGAATTTTACCCCTCCTATTTCTTGCTAACGCATTCACTCTTTGTCGTGGTCTGAGGGTACCCAGCAGCAAGAAGCCTGTTTCAGTCCTTTGCTTTTTTTCTTTTTATGAGCACAGATGGAGAGCCTGAGTGAGGAGGCTGCTAGCGAGGGGCCCGTAGTGTAGTATTGGTGGTAATTATTAGTTTAAGGACTTTGACTTACAGGTTTTTTACGTGTTTCATTTGACCTTCAGATGGAGGACGTTGATGGGCTAGAGGTAAAATATGGAATGTACTGTTATCAACTGTGTTGTTGTGGTTGTATGGGAATGACTCACTGTTTTGGATGTACAGAAGCAGGATTGTTGGGGTTCCAGATCTACTGAGTGTGGAACCTCAAGCACTGAACCAGCTTTTTATTTAAACTTCAAAGCAATCGGTTCTCTAGTTGAGGCTTGTTATGGCCTCTTTATCCTTCATCCACTACAGAGCAGCAGATGGAACTTGTAATAAAAACACACAAACAACTATTATCTGTTGTGAGAATACAATGAAAAAGAGATGTGTTTCATTCTGAAGCAGTTACTTGTTCAAAAAAAATTCCAGTTGCCCCAAAGACTCCCATGGTAATTGGTCTTTTTTTGTCCTGCCCTGTTCTGCTTGTGAGGATCGAGAGATTCAGGATACTGAGAATGGGAGTAAACTCTTATCTCTCTAGGTTTCTGACAATCCTTCTGGAAATTTGGGTGACTGTTGGGTTGAGCTATGGATCTGCGAATCTCTCTTGCTAACTATAACCTGTCCCATTTTGAAGCAGTGGTTGCATTGAAAAAATGTGAATGGATTCCAACCTAGCTTAGCAAATAGCTTCTTGTTATTATACGCTGATTTACCATATTGGATGTATGTGGAGGTTCATGGTACTGCCTTTACTGGGTAAGGAAATGTATATTTTGCTCTTCAACTGAGCTTTGCAACCAGAAATTTGCCAAGCCTTCAGAGCCTTTGAAATTCTCAGATACAGAGTTAACTGAGTCTTTGAAAAGAGATCAAGTTATCTTCAGTTGAATGATAGTGAATTAACTCAGTTTAAGTATGGTACAGCTGAAGTTCTTGATTTTCAACAGGTACTTTGACTAAGAGAACTAGTTAGTGGGCTGGGAACTTGGAGTTCTGAATGTGAGAATCAGTAGGGTAAAGGTGTTAATGCTATCAAGAACCTGTATTTCAAAGGAATTTGATGGGGGAACTTGTAGGAACTCCGTAAATAACACATTCATATAAGAAATTATATATGTGAGGCATTTGCCATGAAGTCACTTGTTCTAATGTTTTTTTTTAATTGTCCCTTCCTACTCTCTTCCTCTGTTCCCCCTTTCCTGCAATTTTATGTTCTAGCAACCTTATCTGTCCACATGGATGCAGCAGAGTCAGAGCTACCAGCAACACCGTCTCTGAGATCCCAGAACTCTGAGTGGACAGGGAAAACGCCACCAGCCGAGAAAGCCACTATTGCTGCCTCCAGTAACTTTTTTAAAATGCCACCAGAGAAGAGCCCTGGATACAGCTAAAAGGAAGCATTGCAACTGTAAAAGCTTGCTGGATTTTGGAAGTGTTTGACTCTGGTGTGTGTCTTCACCAAACATCTTGTTTGGCAGTAGCGATATCTTCAGTATTGGTGCATGATGCGTGCCATCATCCAGACTGATCTGCGTGCCCTGCATACCTAAATCATGTTTGTGAATCTATGTTTAAAAAAAGGTAATCAGTGTTGGGACTGCAGCGGCTTTTAAAAATGTTCTTGCTATTGCTGTATTTATTATGCATTCATCT